CAGGAGGTCTACTCCGGTTCTCGAATGCGAAGTTTCGTTTGATTTGCGGCGGCAAACAACGTTTTCGGAACCATAGACAACTTTCGTGAACTACAATGAACGAATGAAGTGAAGATAAATAAATGGGCAATAAGTAGGTTTAGATTCGAAATTAAATATAAAATTTTATTTTAAGTAATTATATTACTAAAATCATAATGCCATGGCTTAGCACACATAATCATCAAGAAAATCATGAATAATCTTTTAATATTAACGTTTAAGATGGAAAATCTTAAGCAGGATAAGAACCTCCTTTCAAAAATTTATTATACGACCAAGTTAAAAAGTTTTAGAATGTTTTTTTTTGTCATTTATTGACATTTATGTATAAAATAATGACAACCAAATTTATTCGTATTATATTAGTACAGTCAGTTTAAAAATTATAAATGTCTACATGAGAATTTGAAGAGACTAAATTATTTCGTGTTATGATGATTAACAATATAATTTTGAAAAAAATTATCTTATCTATAAATGTTGGTATAGTAATAGGTGTGAAAGAATAGCGAAAATATATATTAGCAATACTTAAGTTAATTTTCTAGCGGTATTATTAGTTTTAAAATAAAATATTACTCATTAAACATTTATGTTCAATACATAAGTTATTCAAATAAGTATTTGATTAACCCAAATGTTACTAACTCTCATAGACATATAAAATGTATAGGTACGTGTTAACAAACTATTTGAGCTGACTGTACATTGATTTTATATCGTCATTTAAGTAGTTCCTTTGGTGCCCTACGTGTTGCCCACATTAAGAAACCGTGACAAAACGAAGACTTATAATTACTTTCCTTCATTTTTCAATAAATTTAACCCAAACGAAAATCAAACGATAACTATTTTGGTTTCGTTGAAATGACATTAAACGTCCGAAGAATAATCTGTCAAACTCGAATTTTCGTTCGTGCGGATTGTACAATTAGAGTAGGGTTCCGAAAATATCGATGTCAAACAGTACATCTCATACTAATTTCTGGCTCATTTCATTCGTTTTTCGTTCGTAATAAATGTCATTGTGGTAGGTAATGTTCGAAGTTTCGTCCGAAACTTCGTTTTTCGTCGAATCAGAGTAGACCTACAGGTTCGGCGCCCAACATAATTATACTTTTGAAATACTATTTTATGTATAATAATATCTTTTTTACAGTTACTTACTTTTTTATTTTCATAATTTCGTACAAGCGATGCGTATGATGTAACGCAAA